TTCATCATACACCAGACCACAAAGGCTGATGATATTTCTAAGACAAGTGAAGCGGTTGACACGCTCAACGACATCACTCCCTATCATTAGTTCGGGTGTAAATGCAACCCATTCTTGATGGAACATTACTTGAGACCTGAAGTAAACCTAAAATAGCCCCAGAGTTTCAGCTCAAACTATTTAGTAGAAATATCTTTTAATGTGTCATTCATTGATGTGGCTTCTGAATCCATCGAATAATAACAATTTTATCATAACTGAATGTAGACATAAATATGAACACAGATCTGGGACTTCCATTCAGTCAAAATTTAGATTTTTAATAAAGTATAGTCGGTATGGGGTTGTGTAGATTATTATAAATTTTTGATTGAAACCATGAACTGTTTGATGTTAGACCACCATTGAAAACCTGCAAGCGATAGACGACCGTTTCGTCTTATTGTGGGACACCTCAGCAACGCGCATCTACTATCTCGCTCGCGGAAACCCAGGGCTTTTGGTCTCGCGTGCGAACGCTGAACCTCCAGACCACTAAGCCGGCATTCAATGGTATTATTGTCTAACCTTAATCAATCCAAGAAATCGCTCAACCACCTGTTATTGTACTGAGGTAGATACTTGTTTCTTCGTGACACGGATTAGCTCCACTGGTCACGACTTCTCACTAAATGATAGCATTAATATAACAGTTAAAATGTCAGAAGATCAGATGAGCTGTCCGAATTAACTCTCGTAATAATATGTTGCATAACTCACCTGTAAAGTACAATGATTACTTATTAGCGCAGTTTATGAATTCCAACGCAATATCTTTTTAATATTAACCTGGATAACACTATTGAATTTGATTTCACCTTAATAAGGCTCTGTAATTTTTTATTCTTTATATTCAAGTGTATAATTGAGCAACATCTCTTGTAATATGTGCATTCTATACCACTAGAGAGATGCATTGTGTTTAGCAATGCAATCCATGATGTATAATTCGTCTTCTTCCAGAATTTTCAGTTGGTATACATGTATACGTGTTCGTCATCACACTGAGATACCTTTTTATTTCAAGCAATCAACACATTTACCATTTAGCTTCTGAATAAGGTCATCAATTAACTTATACAATAAGTATGAAAGTACTAGTAAGGTATTGTAATTTATCATCACTAATATTCTGTGTTTCAATTGCTTAGTTGAGTAACTGTAATTATTAAACAGTAACAATTAGGTAACAATTATTATGTTGAAAAGCACTGTTGCGACTTTAAAGTTTGGCTAGTTATCACGTAATTTATTCGGCAATTGAAATACGACTTATTCACTCTTGCACTGTGCTAAACCAATGACGTTCGACTGGTATGAGCAGCCCAGCGTCTTTATTGGACCTTTGTTCACCTAGTTCTGACATTTGAGTCAAGTTTACCAATACCAACTTCCACTATGCGAATCATTTATTTCAAATATACTTGGTTTATATACCAACCAAGCAGGAGTCATCACACCACAAAATAGGAAATAACATTGATACAAGATCAGGACGAAAATTGGCTATGAACGTGGGAGACTGTAATTAATAAACTGAACACAACTTAAGAACAGTAAATCATACAATAATAATCTCTAAGTCAAACTGAAGCTTATAATAAAGGGAATATAGATATACACAGTCTAATTACTAAGTAGTTACATCGTAAAAATATACAGATAATATTAATCCACTAGTAATTCTCAAAAGTTATTCGTAGATTAATGTTCACTAGGATATAACAAGCACCATCATCTCTTCTTCCTACTGTCATATAAATTAAAAGAGAAGATCAAAATGACCGCATCTAATACAGTTCTATTATTGTCAATCATTATCACTCTTCAATACATTTTGTTCCTTCTTATGATCATCAATACATTTTATAAAGATATTAAACAATATTATGGATTGTTTTAAAATCAATCAAGACATTGGATTTCTCTAGAGATCTTATATTGAGCACAACAGAAACGTGATTATCTATCCTAAATATCAAGTTTATAGAACTAACAAACGATTCATTTGAAATCTTTAAACAAAAGATTTGAATTCGTTTTGTATTGTTTGTTCAACTCTCTCCAATTGATGTTTAAGATTGCAATTGATCGGTCTCTTGTTGGTTTATGTGCATCCTATACAGACTATCACGATATAGCCTAAAGTTGCAAGCATTCTAAGCAAAGATGAATATTAACTACTAGTGGAATCGAAATAAGACAAAATGTGTCTCTTGGATGCCATTCCTAGTTAACATCCATCTTTGGTTAGAAAAGCTTTGAATGTTAGCAAATTACTCGATTATTAACTAAATAACCATTAAAAGATTTATTTTCATTTCAATCTGTTAATGTAAACCACTAATGTAATGAAAATTTTTTCTGTGTAGCGTTATTTTAGAGAGCGGCAAAGCAAGAGCAGCATATTTACAATTAAAGAACATCTGGAACTCAAAGCAACTACTAATCAACACCAAAGTCAGAATTTTTATTACAAATGTCAAGACAGTTCTACTGTATGGAACGGAAAAATAGAGAACTACGAAAGCCATCATCCAGAAGATTCAAGTATTTATTAACAGTTGTCTATGCAAAATATTTCTTATCCGTTGACCAGACACTATCAGCAACAACCTACTATGGAAGAGAACAAACCAGATCCCACTGGAGGAAGAAATCAGAAAGAAACACTGGAAGTGGATAAGACATTCATCGAGGAAAGCACCTAACTGTATCTTAATGCAAGTCCTCACTTTGAATCCTCTAGGTTAAAAGAGAAGAAGAATACATTAAGCCGTGAATTGAAGACAGGCGTGAGAAGAATGAACAATAATTGTATAGAACTAGAAATGAAGTCTGTGGACAGAGTGAGTTTGGAGAATACTGTTTAGCGGCCTATACTCCGCTGGGACGTGATAACTACAGGGGCACCGCTTTTCTATCAGTACCGGGAAAAGTCTTCAACAGGGTATTGTTAAACAGGATGAAGGACTGCGTAGACGCCCAACTTCATGACCAACAGGCAGGATTCCGTAAGGATAGATCGTGTACAGACCAAATCGAAACTCTACGGATCATTGTGGAACAAACAATTGAATGGAATCCATCACTCTACATCAACTTCATCGACTAAGAAAAGACATTTGATAGCGTGGACGGAACAACACTATGGAAACTTCTTCGACACTACGGCGTGCCTCAGAAGATAGTCAATATCATACAGAACTCATATGATGGATTACACTGCAAAATTGTGCATGGAGGACAGTTGACAAAGTCGTTCGAAGTGAAGACCGGTGTAAGGCAAGGTTGCTTACTCTCACCCTTTCTCTCGCTCCTGTTGATCGACTGGATCATGAAGACGTCAACGTCTGAAGGGAAGCGCGGGATACAATGGACATCTAAGATGCAGTTGGATGATCTAGATTTCGCAGATGATCTGGCACTTCTATCCCAAACGCAACAACAGATGCAGGAGAAGACGAACAGTGTGGTAGAAGCCTCAGCAGCAGCAGGTCTCAATATACACAAAGGGAAAAGCAGGATTCTCCGATACAACATAACATGCAACAATCCAATCAAAATTGACAGAGAAGATTTGGAAGATGTAAGAACCTTTACATGTTTGGGCAGCATCATTGATGAACAGGGTGGATCTGATGCAGGTGTGAAAGCGCGGATCGGTAGAACAAGAGCATCATATTTACAACTGAAGAACATTTTAAACTCAAAACAACTGTCAACCAACACCACGGTCAGGATTTTCAATACAAATGTCAACACAGTTCTACTGTATGTGGCAGAAACCTGGAGAACTACGAAAGCCATCATCCACAAGATACAGGTGTTTATTAACAGTTGTCTACGCAAAATACTTCAGATCCATTGGCCGGACACTATTAGCAACAACGTACTGTGGGAGAGAACAAACCAGATCCCAGTGGAGGAAGAAATCAGGAAGAAGCGCTGGAAGTGGATAGGACACACATTGAGGAAACCACCCAAATGCGTCACAAGACAAGCCTTCACATGGAATCCTCAAGGTGAAAGGAAAAGAGGAAGACCAAAGAACACATTACGCCGAGAAATGGAAATAGACATGAGAAAAATGAACAAGAATTGGATGGAATTAGAAAAGAAGGCCGAGGACAGAGTGGGTCGGAGAATGCTGGTTGGCGGCCTGTGCTCCATTGGGAGTAACAGGCGGAAGTAAGCAAGTAAGTAAAAAGTAAACTCTATCGGTAGTAACAAACGTAAGTAAGTAAATCAACTAATATAATAAAAAATCTCTGTTTTAATATCTAATATTCTTTAGGATCTAAGAATTTTTTTAATAAAATGAATATATAGTACTTAAAAAACTATTTAAATAATCCTCTAGGCAAGAAATGTTCAATAGATTTATTTGTCCAATAAATTATTAGATAAACTGACAGACAAGTTTTGATATGTCTGTTCACAATCATTAAAAAAAGAAAAAAATAATAAATGAAAAATTGTATACGAATATGTATATATTAATATACATGTGCGTAGTGTGTGTGCGTGTGTGTTTGAAATTATTAACCAATCACATTTTCACTGATTCTTGTTTATATTTATGACTGAAAATGACCAATAAATTGGAAATGATCTTTTTATTCCCATATTTGTAAACTAGTTTTATTCCGTATCCAAGTGATAACACGACATAGTGACTAGTTATATCATACTGTAATACAACGAAGAAAGAAAAAAAAAGAAGTAAGGGATCATATTCAGAAGACTTGTAAAAAGATACAGTACACATATACACATATACATATACATATTAGAAATAATGTAAAGAAGTGAATTATAATAGAAGGATATAAAAAAGAAATCGAATTATTCTTAGTAATTACTAATGAAAATTGTGACAAATCATTTAATACTTGTTTATATCTTATTCTAGGACAGTAAAATTAATGTTTATTACTGACAAAAACAACAACAACAGCAATAATAATAATAATAATCATAACTGAGAAATAGAACTATTAAAGATTTAAAATGGAATATCACATCAATTACAATCACTTATTAGACTGAAATCTCCTTATTCATGATTTATTGAAGAGTATTCATTAGATGTTTCTCTTTTTTTTTCTTCTCTCAGTTCAACGAATACGGATTCCATTATTGATTATTGATTAAAACAATAACAACAACAACAACAACAACAACAACAAGAGTATTGATTTATTCATAATAAAATAAAATAATGAATGTATATAATAGTGAAATTGTATCAATCAAATCATTGCATAGTAATACTAGTCATGTATTATCATCATCATCATCATCATCATCGAATTCTTCATCACAACAATCATCTAATTCATTAAGAGCACCATCTATCACTGGTTTACCCCAATTGAAAAATCTTACAGCCATAGAAATTAATAATATTAATAAAAATCCATTCATTACATATCCAAATGATAAATATTATATAAAAAATATACCAAATATTATTAATACTACTCATAATAATACTACTGATTTTACTGATGAAATCTTTCAAACGAATGGACAATTATTAACTATTCCAGATGGATTGAATCGCAATAATAATAATAATAATGAATCAAATCTATGGAATTTGAATTATAATACACATTCTATTCATAAACATAAAACTAGAAATAATACATTATTTTGTGGTCCAGGACGTAAACGTTATTTAATTGCATTTCTATGTTGTACATGTCTTACTATTGTTATTGGTATGAGATCAGAAATGTTAGGTATTATAACAAATTTAAATAATACTAATACACGTATCACATTTGGTATTAAATATACAACAAATATGAAATATCAAATGGATTATAATCATCATCGTCATCATCATAATCATATGAATCTATTCAATAGATCAAAACAAATGAATCATATCAATATAAATGGATCTATATATTCAAAAGAAGAACAACAAGAAGGAGAACAACATGAAGAAGAAGAAGAAGATAATGATGATGAGGAGGATATTGATCATGAATTACATACCGATTCAAATAGACTATTAGATAATATACGTCCATCAACATCATTAATATTTAAACCATCAGAACATCGTAAAATGCCATGGACAGAAACAATTAAAAATGATATAGTAGAAAATTCTGTATTTTTTGCTTATTTAATAACAAGTCCAATAGGTGGTTATTTAACAGTGAATTATGATTCATCATTTTTATTAGGTAGTTCTGTAGCAATTACATGTGGTATGAATTTATTTTTACCACTTGTTGAAACTATAGGTAATAATATTAATGCAAAATTAATTATGATTATATTATTAAGATTAATACAAGGTTTAGCTGAAGGTTGTTTAATCCCATCAGTATTTGGTATATTACGTTTTTGGAGTCCTATTAATGAACGTTCAACATTAGTATGTTTATCTGTTATCGGGGTATCATTAGGACCATTAATTGGTTTACCAGTATGTGCTGAAATTGAAAAAAAATGGGGTTGGGGTGTTGTATTTTATATTTATGCTAATTTAGGTTTAATATGGTGTATATTTTGGTGGAGATTAATTGATGAAAAACCAAATAAAGATAAAAAATTAAATAAATATGAATTAAATTATTTAAAATCAACAATATCTAATCGTATATTATATAATCATAATTATACTCCGATACCATGGAATAAAATATTTACATCACGTCCTGTATATGCTATATTATTTACATATGCTGCAGATGATTGGACATTTCAAATATCATCAGTATGTATGCAATCATTTTATCAACAAATTTATAATGTAGATGTAGAACGTACTATATTTTTTTTATCATTCCCTTTTTTATCAAGATCAATATTTGTACCAATTGGTAAGTGATATTAAATAAAAATAAAATAAATATGTTTTTTTTTGTAAATTGAATAGTTTACATCATGATTTCATTGAAGATAGATCATCATGGTGAACCTTGAAGCAATGGATGGTCATTTCGTTCTGTTGTGGGACTCCTCCATGGTAGTACGCATCCAGTGGTCTAGTTGGTTAAGCGCCTGGAATCGAATCCCACGAGGCGGAGTCGTGGATGCGCACCGCTAAGGAGTCCCACAACAGGACGAAATGGCCATTCAGTACTTCCAAGTTTTCATGGTGGTCTATATTCAATTGACTCATGATGTCAACTGTTTAAAATGAATATTTATTTGAATAGTTTAGATCATGATTTCATTGAAGATAGATCATTATGGAAAACAATTGGAAACACTAGATGACTGTTTCGAACTATTGTAAGACTGTTCAATAGTGAGTATCCACGATCCCGTCCCATCCCGTCGGCGAGATTCGAATCTAGGAACTACTGGTCTCGCTTCCAGGTTTTCCATGGTTGTCTAGCTTCAATTGACTCATGAATTCAATATTTCATCAATTTTGTGATTGATTATTTTTTACATTTTTTTCGTTTATTTGTTTATTTATTTGTCAAATTAGATTTGATAAAAGAAAAAAGTGTTATTCGATAGAAAAACAAGAAAAAAACATAATAAACAATTGTTTTGTTCTAGTTAAGGGAATTTTAATGATGATAATTCTTGAGTTAGAATCTTCTCAGGTGGGATAGTGTATGTGTACTGCTGAAGAGTCGCACAGTAGGACGAAACAGCCGTCCACTCTTTTCAGCTTTTCTATGATGATCTAGTTTTAATTGACTAATGATCTCATCTATTAAAACTACTATAAAATCCACAAAAAACACCTTAATTTTAATATTATCTATTCAATCAGGAATCGAACTTAGGGGAATAAATGAATCCATTTCTATATAAAATATTCCATAGAGATTTTTGTTTATATTCATTTTCAATGTGAGATTATATTTTTCGCCATGAACTACTAAGTGAGATATGTATACTGACTATTAAGTTGTTATTGAATGAATTTTTTAAGATCCATGACATTGTAATGGCTTTCATTTGTGATATTAAAGTATACCTAATAGTAAGATGGTGAATGTTTGATGAAATTGAGTGGGAATTGTAACGCATCAATTGTTGACTGATGTTGAATGTCTAAGATGTTTTAAATTAACTAAAAGTATATTTATGTTACTATACTAATTCAGTCAGTCAACTACAATGTAGGACTAGGGACATATATGCATCGCTTCAAGTTACAACACCTCATTAACACAACAACATCAACACCAAATTCATAGAAGTAGTTAATCCAATCGTACTATTATATAAAAGAAAGACTGCATATAAGAATATAGTAAAGAAAAAATGCATTAGTTCGTAGAAAGAAAGGTATACGGTAATTCAGATCTCATGGTTTAAGGGCAGACAGAGAGAGTATACACCAACGCCATTGTGATCAAATTTGAGTCATGTCATCCAAAATCTCCAACCATTAATTAAAATGGTCACGTGGATTCCAACCAAGTAGTGTGTACCTATCAACATGGCTAAAACTAGAAGTTAGTGATTTTGTGGAATGATATCACATCTTGGTTTGACTGCCCCTAAAGTTCTTCTGACCATCTCTAACACTAGTCAACATTGCGCGTTGTGGTAATTTTTATTCAGGCATACATATCATGTGGCTCAACCATCTCAGTCGATGAAAATTCACAACTTCATCAGTTGATTTACCACCATTCTCTTATACCCTGCATCTAAACTTACCCGGTGATCCCAGCAGATGCCGGCAATATTTCTAAGACATCTGTGGGCAAATACTAGTTGTTTACAAGTATCTTCAACTCTTAATGGTCATGTTTCGCAGCTGTAAAAATTTGAACAGAACGAACTGCCTCAAAGTATACTCGTCTTTTACTGTGTAACAATTTATACTCATTGAATGACTTGATATCATTTAACACAACTCTGTGTATGTATGTATAGGCTCTGAGTTATCTTTATTTAGAACAAACTGGGATAATGATTTATTTTTTCAGTGTCTTTTCTTGACTTCTTAGAAATCAATTCATATTTGATCTTGACAAATGCGGACTTCTAAATTATCTTATTATAAGTAGTATTTAATCCTACAGTCATTGGAATAACTAGAAAGTATTGATATATTGAGGATAGTTTGTTAACATTATAAACTTACTTAATAGTATTAAACGAAATATTTGTTCGATTAATACATATTGAATCATTTTCTCACAACTATTTGACAGATTCTTCATTAACAAATCAACTAGTCATATATATTAATGCATCAAAATCTATTCATGAACATAATTCCAATTATTGCTTACATGAATTTAATACGGTTTGAATTACTTTTTTTCGGGTTAGTGTTTTTTTGACGAGTTAGTTTTCTACGGGATGGGGTCGGTAACCTCATGCCCATCCCTCCTTCTTTACGCGGGCTTGGGACTGACAGTAACCCCAGACGGGCTCTAGGCAAAGTTTAATTTAATACAGAAACACAATCATGATTTTATACTCTTATTCATTTATACAATTTACTCAGTATTATCACCATGTTTATAAGATAAAGTATTTTATTGAGTCTGCTTTGTTTTGTTACACTGAATGAGTTCATTTGTTTTTGTCATAATAGGGTTCATTGATGATGTAACTCATTTGAAGTTGCATTTGTTGCCTAGCACGAGACTAATATGTCCTGGGTTCGAATCTAGCGGGGGGCGGGATCGTGTATGCGCACTGCTGAGGTGTCCCATACTAGGACGAAACGGCCGTCCAGTGCTTTTAGGTTTTCCATGATGGTCTAGCTTCAATTGATTCATGATTTCAACCAGTGAAATTTCTAAAATCTCCACAAAACCCATTTTATTAAGTTGAACTAGAATTGATTGTTATCTTATACATTAAGTTTATACTTTCTTCAATACAACTTTCTAATGCGTTAATCAAATTAAAATTTTATACTTTTAACTATGGTTAGCAGTGATAATTAGACAGTATATTTTATCTTATATGAGATTCTTCACCTGAATATATCTGTATATTAGTGTTAATGTTCAATACAGGAATCAAGTCGATCCAGCTGATGAGTCTGTAGTGTAAGCGTACATAACTTATTCTAACTTTTGGACAGGTCAATTTATCCATTCTTCTTAAGTCATATTAGAATCTTATCAATTATTCACTTAATACAACCCTGACTGTTTTTGTATGAGCGTATATATGTGTGCCCTATTTATCCCATTCATCAGATGTCTGTAGCTGTTTTTGTGTGACTATAAATATTGATCAACACTTGATTAAATCGAGTTGGCTCATACGCCACCGATGAAATCATTTAACGGAGCTGTACATCCGCATTTATAGCTATTTGGTTGATATTTCTGTAGAAGAATATGAAAGATTGTATTATAAATTAATTCGAGACTTCAAATATCAAACGAGGTTACGTAACAATTAGGGATTTAAAAGAAAGAATAAAAGGTAGAAAACGATTTACATGTCAGAATTATGAAGGATCATTATCCTCTTAACAAATTTGAAGGGAAATGAAAGAACATGAATGTTGGATATATCATTTTTGTACGAAGAGTTCTGGTTTGAACTGGTTAATCACCAACGCCTCAGTAGTACATAAACTTTCTTTATCCAGCCTCTTTTTGATCCAGTTCCTTTGATTGTGAAGATTATTTTGAAGGAAATCTTCTTTGTAGTGACTTGTTCAGAGTGGATTGGGTGGTCCGGTGTTGGTCTAATAATTGTTTTGCATTCTCCTTCTAAAAAAAACTACTCCAGATAATGTTCTGAGATGGGTTGAGAAACTAACCAACTATAAATATGGGTGTACAGCTTAATTTCTTCTTATTTCTATTCCATAACACATAGGGTTAGTTTACTTGTATGAAGACATCATATTTGTTTTGATTGTTAATGTCAATCTAGAAATCTACCAAACAATTGTATTTCCATACAAGTTTTATTTATATAAACAGCAGTTGACTTTATGCAACCTTAAATATGAACAAAAGAGTAATTATAAAGCTTACGTATTTTATCTGAAGTTTGTGCTGATTTGGTTGTTTAGAGGAATGATGAAAGCTCCACGACCAAACCATCCAGCTCAGAGAACAAAACTCCATCAAAAAGCTTACGTATTTATTAATTTATAAAACTAAAGTCAATATATTTGAGTGTTTTGTTCCGTTAACTAAACACAACAAAAGATTATTATGCAAAGAGAAAATTATTCCTATATGGTATTACGTATTTACGTTTGTTATCCCCAATGGAGCATAGGTAGCTGGCCAGCATTCTCCAATTCAAGCCAAGTTCTTTTATAATATAAGGTTTGCTTATTAGAATAGGTAACCAATAGCACTTACAAATAATCAGTTTAAATTCTGCATAGTTAAGATTGTCCAAAATTAAGTGTCTATGAAATGATCTATAATGTACATAGTCAATAATAAGTCTGTTTTATCGTGAAAATTCTAAAACGTTAGTCAGGACAAGCTGTGAACTACATGTTGAGAAATTTAAACATTTCACTTTTACCTGAAATTTGTGCTGATGATGTTGTTCAGAAGAACCATGAAAGCTCCACGATTAAACCATCCAGTTCAGTGAACAAAACTCCATCAAAAGGTTATTCACAATATTTTATTCATTTATCTACCATGTAGACATTGGTTTAATACAAATATCGTGTGATGTATTACCTTGTAACCTTAATTGATTTATTTGTGTAACAAATAATGATTTAGGCATTTAACTTTCAGTTATATTGTTTGCATGAAGTACGATTATACTTGATCGCTAAGATGAGTGAACTCATATGAGATGTGCTAGTTTGAATCCAAGTGTTTCAACCACTAAGCTAATGTTTCATATTATTAATTTACCAGATTGTTTGTATCGCTTTTTATATAATACCATGAAACTTGTTGTATGTGCGTCAGAAAGATTGTGATGTATGTTGTTTATACCATCGCAATGTTGACCAATGTTAGAGATGATTGGAAGAACTTTAGGGGC